GGCGAAGCCCAAAGGCCTTCCAAAATGGATCAGGGCCAGGCAGGGCCAGGGGCTGTTTTTAGCCACAAAAACCACTCAGAGAGTCATTATTTCATTTGACAAAACTGTAAGGGATTTTTTGAAGGAAAATGACCAGCAGCCCTGGTGCCCGACCCGCCCGACCCGCCCGAAGCACCCTCAGGGCGCGCTTGTGATCATCAGCACGCTAGGCTTGGCGGCCCCGGGGCGCGTACTGTGGGCGTTCTGAGATTGCTCGGGCAAAGTCGGCCGGGCGGGGCCGGGTCCGGGTCGCAGCCCTACATTAAGATGATCAAATCACAATGAAAACTTGCATTGAAAATTTATCAAAGATGGTTAATATGAAAAATCCTCCTCCATTGGAACAAATCAAGTCTGTAGTTTTGAAATCATCTTCTTCTTATGATGACAAATTATTTTTAGCCATGTTGCAGTTTGGTTTTGGAGGCCTTCATCGTTTAGAAGAACCGACAAAGCCTGATTCAAAAAAGTTTTTTGTTGCAAGAAAAGTTAGGAAACAACTCGGGCCACACTCAACTTTGCTACGGCCACACCTCACGTGACTTGGCTAGACTTACTACATACATGTATTGACCACGCCAACGCCCGAACCAATCCGACACAAAAGTTGGTATCGTATTGGTATTGTGTTGCCAATCCGACATCAAAAGTCGGATTTCTCCATATCGCTTCACCCGACCCGACATGAGAAGTCCCCTTTTCTCATATCGGGTATCGGCGACGCGATTTGCATTTTTCCTACTTGAAAAGCCTTGCAAACAATTTTTAAGTACGGTATCGGCTCGTATCGCTTCAGCGACACGATATGGCCGACCGAATTTTTGGATTTTTTTTTGTCCTCATATTGTATCGGGTATTGGTCTGAATGTATGGGTTGGCCGATACAACATGGAAACCCTCCGAAAAGTCGTATCGTGTTGGATTGGTTTGGGCGTTGACCACGCTACATGTAACCGTGGGCTTTCGTTTTTTTAATAACCAAGCTTGATAAAACGGTGGGAAGAGCGAGGTACATAGGAAAGGGATGACTTGAATGTGACCGGTGAACAGTGATGTAAGTATGATCAAGATCGCTTGAAGGCATATCAAGTTCATCACAATACTCAAATTGTTTCCGCGATGCAACTCGCGAGGCAGTAGAAAACAACAGCTGAACAGACCTTGATAAAGTTCATTGTAAAGTTCATTCGATTTGGATGGTATGGGAGCGAGGCAATGAACCAAACAGTTGATCAAGAACAGTGATATGTTCTCTGAGTCTCTCGCATCACTCAAGGGTTTCTCAGGAATAGAAGATTGTATGGAATTATATATGATTGAAGTGATCATATGATCATTTTGAATTGCATGTAGTTAGGAAGCTCAAGCAAGCATCGAGATAAGTAAATCAGCTTGGTGTTGATTTTTAACTCAAGTCGATTGGAATTTTGGGCATAATTGGGCATTGTTACGCCAATGTCCCACCAGACCACAGGCCTTACAAGTCTCAACTCGTTTTCCATTTGCAGGTGGATCAACATACTCAAAACCAGATGGATCTCAACACGTAGAGGTATCGTTATCCCGACGATTTGAAGTTAACTGGGGTCTTCCTTTTGGTATGATTGGCTGAGGTTCTTGCAAAACAATCGGGACCTGGTGAGAAAGTTTGTGTAGCTGCTCTACCATATCCTGCTGCTGTCGCATCGGAAGGTTCTTAAAATTCTCAGAGAGGCGGTTGAGAACAGTCGGCAATGCGCCAATTGGCCCTTCGGGCGATAGGTCAAGCAAAAGTGGCGTGTGATGATACAGATGCCAGTGGCGGTGAAAATTTTCAAGTGAAAGCTGTTTCTTCTCTGAGATAAGTCAACGTAAAAGATGAGAGCAGGGAAGGCCCCATATTGTTGTAAATATCCCAGTACAAGGCTTAGTCTCTGTGCTCAATGGGCGCCTTGCGAGCTCAAGCTACAAAGTGAGATGATGGCTATCAGCGGCGATCGATCTGGATGAAATTCAACTTGACGTACTTGTTTGTGTACTTTGCAAAGCGCAAATGATGAAACCTTCCGATTGACATCCTGGAAGATCTCTCCTTTGGGTGTAGGTAGAGCAAAAATGAGGACATTCATCTGATCTTTTGCCAGCTGAGCACGGTAGTCAGTTAAAAAGTTTTCGATCAAATGTACAATCTTCTCACTACAATCAAGGATGTTGTTGAGATTAATTTTGATGTATTTCTTGATCCGTCCATGAGCGCCTTCACCTCGCGATGTTACTGTGTGCCCGAGATGACAGACAGAGTTGGGCCATGCCTTGACAAACTTATGCTTGTATGGACCAATCCATGTATCTTCCAGATACTTTACATTGGTGGGCGAGTGTGATTTTTTGAACGTTGACCAGGCCAACAAAAAATCTTCTTCCGTGGTGGAATACATGACCTACAAGAAGAGATTTCAGTAAAGTATTATATCATACAAAGCAAGAAAAACACCCACAGATCTCCAGTCCTTCATAAAGGTGTCCCACTCTTCTTTCGGTTTTCCAGAGAAACGAGGCTTGCAGGTCTTGATTACATTCTTCTCAATATGCCAGATACACAGCAAGATTTCCGCTGTGTCGAAATGGATCCTGATTGCCGCAATTAGGGCAAGCTCTCAATCGGTGACAAGGACTTGGGGTAGATGGCCTTTGTGAAAGAGATCTTTGAAGTACTTCAGAGCAGTTGTGTATGACTCCTTGCTTTCTGTCTTCATGAAGATGAAACATGCTGAAAAGGTTGTGTGAAGCGCAGTTGTACCCATAATATGGAGTAATGGGAACTTTGACCGAGTTGTCTTGTATGTAGCATCCAAGATAAAGACCTCGTAGTTGATGCGCAGGAGTGAAATCGAATCTGGATGTGCAAAAAAAACATGTGTCACCTGGCCTTTGTCATTGGTCTTGACTTTGATCTTATATCCCTTTCTGGTGAAGCTTTCAACTAAAGTGTCCATGGGAGTTCTTCCATCTAATTTATCCCACATTGCTTGTCTCTTGAGATTATACAACTTTCTACGGGGGATATTTGCACCACCATCTATGTTGCAGAGTTGAACCTGAATATTGTGTATTTCAGTCTTGGCTTCAAACATCAATTTGACTGCCTTGTCCTGGGTTTCAGTGAGTCGGAGGTGAACTGGAAGAGCAGATGCCGCAGAGGAAGGTCCGTGATTGTGCATAGGTTCCGTGACAATGAAGTTCCACGTGTTGGCCTTTGATTCCATTCCTATGAGCTGGAATGGGCAGTTGGTAACACAGGTAGAGGCCTTCCGCTTACATGTCTTATCTGTCAGACCATGTCTATTACGGTAGGTCCCTCCAAGTGTACATTTGTAGTATATTCTTTGAAAACCATTATTCTTCTTTGATGTCTTTGTCACCACTCCGTAACCGTGCTGAGCAGCAAAAGAGTTGATTTTCTGTTGCATTGCATCCTTGGTTGCGTAAGTGGTTTCTATCAAAGCTGGTGGTGGTGGTGGTAATGGCTGTGCGAGTTCTCCTTTGATCATTGATTTGGAAACATGAATTTGAAGGTGAGTAAAAATATTTACAAAAAACCTTCTCCACAACAATCTTGAGAAAAAAAGAAAGCCCACGGTCACATGTAGCATGGTCAATACATGTATGTAGTAAGTCTAGCCGAGTCACGTGATGTGTGGCCGTAGCAAAGTTGAGTGTGGCCCGAGTTGTTTCCAAAAAGTTATCCTGTGCTCAACTCTCTGATTTTCAAACCGCAAAAAATTCATTCAATATAATTTACCATACTCAGAAGGAGATACCAGCTTTTTAGGTGCTCTGGTTATCATTCAAGGTTTCCACAATACTTCCGCATGTCCAATCTGCCTTGTCAAATCTTATCTTTGAGTTTGAGACAATTGTGTTATCACTTTGCCTGAACTTTTTGTCACCTCCAATGGTTCTCTTCCATCTTGTTCTTGGTTTGTATCAAGATCCCACACCCACTTTGACAAAATAAATTCTGGACATTCATTGTGTTCTGGTGGTGCCGTGGCTTTAGCACAGTTGGGGCATACTATGGACTACATCAAGAGCGCCGGACACTGGTTGTCTGAAGCGTTTTTAGTATGTGTTTCTGGGCACGTTGCTTTAAGATTACCGGAGAATCAAAATCATGTAATTGGTGATGTGTCTCATATTGATGCCAGGGTTTGTTTTTCTTAAAAAAGTAAGTCTTTGGATGAAGTGTTAAGACTGGTCAATGGCTCTTGTGCCTTTGCCTTACTATCATTGGTCAATGGCTTTTTTGCCTTGTGTGATATTTGGCTTCTTTATGCCTAGGTTTTGGATTGTTTGGTTTGATTACTTTCAGAAACTGACAATTTTCTTCTGTTTTACTTATTTCTATCCTGTCCTACTTCACCACTCTATGGATACGTCTGTAGGCGGGTCAGAGAGGGTGTTTTTTGTTCTTTCAAGTAATTCACTGATCTAGCCTAGGAATTTGCCCAAAACCACACCTGTCTTTCAGGATTTTCAATACTGAGTATTGTAAGTTCTACAAATTACATTTCTTCAAGATGGATTATCAGTCAAATCAATCAAAGAAATCAAGAACATCAAACCATGAGTTTGTATCGAGTAGGCCAACAAAACCTGCATCATTTTGGGAATCCACACGATCAAACTGACGGAGTGGTGACTTGATGGGTGAATTGAAGGGATGAGGTGATGCTGGAGCATGTTGGTGTGATATGAACAGCACATTGAAACTTGTGAAGGGAACAATGTGATTAAAATTCACATATGTAGCCGGTGCGCGGTATAAACCCATACTCCATGGGTTAATGGGGGTTTCCTAGCCGTCCCCGAGTAAATTTTGCAAATGGATCCCCTGGTAAACCGATCTGATCTGATCTGATTGGTCGAAAAGTTTGAGCGCATACACTCCTGACACTGTTTACCAACTCAACTGAGCAATTCATTATCAAATCAACCTCACCACAATCCTTTTGCTTTTCAAGAAACCAACGATCAGTACTTCCAATCAACTACCTCACCACATCGAAATGCGATCAAGATTCCTCACATCAACTCATCGTCAACTATGTCTTCTTAGATGTAAAGCATTCCCAAGCACTACTTTTCTTCAACGATCAAATTCAACATCATTTTTACAAACCAGATCATTTCAAATCGATACTGAAACTGAAAGAGAACCGAAAAATGAACACAATCGTTTACCTATCCCTTCATCTTCATCTTCAACATCCTCAAATTCTAAACCAACACCAACACCAAACTTATCCCATCGATCAACCAAAACTAAACAAGTCCTAACACTCGTAAATCAACCCAATTCACTCTATACCCTTCCAAAAAAGACTCATCGAAGCATAAAAACAACCAAGTTGACTTTTTTTATAATTTTTGGTTTGGTTAGACACCTAAAGCTATCAAACAACTAGAAGAACTTTTAAATCCGACCAAATCAAATCAATTACCTGGAAGACTAGTAAGAGTAGGTGTGAGACAAAAAGGGTGTGCAGGCATGGCGTATGATTTATCATATGTTTCAAGTGTAAGTTAATCTGTGCTGTGCGAATCGAATTCCCAAAGCTTTCTACTGATTTTTCTTGATTTGGATGAGATAGCCAGGAAAGTTTGATGAGATCGTAACGGGTGAAACTGAAAATGGTCAACAAGTCAAAGTGATTATCGATTCTAGAGCTTTATTAACGATCATTGGTTCTATAATGGATTATGAAGAAAGTTCACTTGGTTCTAGATTCGTCTTTCAAAGTCAGCTTTACCCTCTTTCTCTTTTTGAAAATCATTGAAACTTTTGATATTGATGTTTCAATTTTTTTTGGTGGGTTTGGGGGTTAGATCCAAATGTTAAAGAACAATGTGGATGTGGTGAAAGTTTTATGGTTTGATCAATCTCTAGTTTCTTTTTCTGGTAAAAGAGAATCAATGTGATTCGTTTTTTGAAACCACATCAAAGCATCATTTCTTGTTTCCCATCTCATGGTTTTGTTTTTTTGTACAAGTATCTTTATCTTTGTTTTTGCAAGCTCTTTAGGTTTGTCTCTCTTTCCTCTTTATATATGAGAAGTAACATACCACCTCGCTCTTATAGTTATAGCCACATACATGTAGAAGAGATCCTCATGAATGGTGTTTCTTTTTGGGTTTCTTTGATTTGATTGGGATTTTGAAGAGAGAGGTCTGATTGGATTTAAATAAGTAGTTGATTGTTTATAGAGTGGATGGATTAGTTTGAGAAGATAGTTGGTTTTGTATTATCAAATCGATTTGTAGCGTTCAAGTTTACCATGGAACGAGTTTTAACATAGGGGAATAATAGGTGTTGAGTGAGGTTGAGTCTTAACTTAACAAAGTCCCTCATGCAAGGTTGAGTCGTGAAATAAGGAAAATGGCTTATAGGATTTAGGTTGCTTTCGTTCTATAAGCTTCTGATGACGTTTGGTAAAGAGCACTCTGTACGGTTTTCAAGGATCACTGGATTGGTTTTCAGCTTTAGTGCTTGCTTCCTTTTCCTCTTACCATCTTATTACCTATCATTCATTGTAGTCGTCCAAATCATTATCACCAAGCTTTTTCTCTTTTCCTATCGAAAATTATCACCTTGCTATTTGTTTCCCACCGTTCCTCCCATTTTTTTGATTGTGCTCACGGTTATTCTTACATTTTCAGTGTTAGGCCGCCCCTCGGGTCTCTGGTTTCTCTCTCTCACTGCAATTCGCTCAGGCCCTCCGGGGTCGTCCGGCGTTTTATGTAGCAGCAAAAGGATTTTGGTTCAAAGTGACTCCCGCACCTCGAACCTCTTCCCTCGATAAGAATCTGGAATCTAATCAGTGACAGTGTGAGAGTGAGAGTGAGAGTGAGAGTGAGAGTGAGAGTGAGAGTGACTGCGGGATCGGGTGAATCTAGATTGGAAATGAAAAATTGAATGATCATGTAAGCAGTCTCAATCGAATTAGAAACTGACTGATCACAGCAACTGATCAATTCTCAACTTCAACTCTTCAGAAAGAATGTCATCATCATCATCATCATCACCAGATAACAACAACAACAACAACACTCAATCAATCACACCATCTCAACCTATCCGATCAAATTCAACCTTCCTAACACCTCCTTCACCAACAACCACCACCACCAACCTAGTCACCAAACTCAAAAACCATGTACCCAAACGATTATCACTAAGTACTTCATCTAGATCCAAATCATCTTCATCTTCTTCTACTCATTCAATCAGTCCAATCCAATCTAAACATCTTTCGACAATCAACAACAACACTGTCAATCATCCGATTCCTGCCATCTTGAAAATCAGAATCGAAGCTGGTCAAGATTTATTAGCAAAAGATCGAAATGGTAAATCAGATCCGTTTTGTAAATTATCTTTAATCAATCCATCAAATCAAAATCAAGTAAATCCTATCATCTTACAAGAACAATCAAAATTAGTTTCAGACATTAGATACAATACTTTAAATCCAATTTGGTATCAATCTGATCTATCTCTCGATATCGGTTCAGCTTCTATAGAATGTATTATCTTTCCTAGATCGATTTTAAACAATTTAGTCAAAGTGATCGTATTAGATAAAGATAGATTAAAGAATGATTATTTAGGTGAATTAGAAATTAATTTGTTAGATTGGATCGATTCGATCGGAATCAATTCAACTTCAACCTCCACTTTTTCGAATCTAAGTTTCAATTCTTTGTCAAATCCACCCAGATGGTATTCCTTGGTCAGTTCCAAATCTCGTACTAAAGTCACAGGTCAATTACTTGTCAAGATTGGATTTCTATCTGGATTAGATTTTCAAACTGCTACAAGTTCTTTACCTACTACTGTCTTAAGTTCTTTACCATTTTCATCTTCACCCATCTTGGAAACTTCAAATCTTGAAAAGAGTAGTCCATCCTCACAAGAACAAGATGACGATCAATTCATGAAAGAGATCGCTGGTACATTACAATCGATCATCACCAATCATGAATCTCCATCTCGATCCACCACTCAAGCTCGTCAATCTCCTGCTTCTGCAACGGCTCTAGTTTCAGGATCAATCGAAACCGAAACAGATGAACAAGATAAACAAAAGAGAATCCGTCGGATCTTGAACTCTAACAAGAAACTCCGATCGATTGTATCCAAGAAGATCAGACGGAAATCAACTACTGCTATGAATCACAATTCAGCAGGAGAAACAGAAGAAGTAGAAATGAATGAAGAAGGACTTGAAAGAGGTCAAACAGTTCTAAGTGCCAATCCGACGCTCGGGGTTGGAACAAGAGCTAAGGGTAGGATTGTAAGTGGACAAGAATTGAGTGAAGCGATTGGAGAAGACAGTCCGAATTCAGATGAAGATTCATTATACTCAATCATTTCAACTGATGATGAAAGTAGTGAAGATTTAGAAACTCAATCGATTCGAAACCTTAATCTAGATGAACCGAATCCGACCTCAGGAATCGAATCTGAACTAGGTCCAGCTTTTGAAGCCAACAATCCACCAAGTTCTTCTATGAATTCTACATTGGTAGTACCTCCTGCAATGAGTCGTTCATCAAGTTCATCAAGTAAAAAGTTACTTTCGATCCCAAGTGCATTAACGAAAAAAATCCCAACTGGAATCAAAGCCTTTGCACCTAAACCCAACCTATCCTCCTCATCCGAACCTCCTCATCCAAGTAAATCGGTCAGATTAACCGAACCTACCAGTCCTACTATCATTAAGAAACCTAATCGAAAGTTTCATCAGAGATTGAGAAAACAAAAATCAGAACATAGTTTTAAAGATGGACATCTTACCAAAGATGATGTGATGGGGATTTGTTTCATCGAACTGGATAAAGCGATCGGATTACCTTATTGGAAATCAGTCACTAGGATCGGATTTGATATGGATCCATTTGTGATTATTAGTTTTGGTGAAAAGGTGAGTGTTTGAGAATTCCTTTAAAAGTTGATCTTGGTTTATGTTTTCATGAATTTCTGACTTGATCGGATTGATTGAAACGGTTTAGATTTTTCGTACTAAAGTGATCAGACATTCACTCGAACCGGTTTGGGATGAAAGATTATTTTTTCATGTGAAACGAGAAGAATTGAATTATACGATTCTGTTTAGTTTATTTGATTGGGATAAGATGTCATCAAATGATTATATTGGAGAAGTGAAATTACCGATGATCGAGTTGATTGAAGCTAATCAAAAGAAGATGAACATCGATTCGAAAACTGGATTGTATCAAGTAGATGAAAATGGAAAGTTGTGGGGAGATTCGATGATCAATTATGAGTTCTTGATCGAGAGTCCGAGTCCGAGTACGAGTCCTTTGAATTCGAATTCGAAGAGTAGTAATTCATCAGATCTTAGTAATCCTAGTCCTCCTGCTTCCGCTACTGTTTCATCAACCACAACTCCAAGTAAATTGTTTATCAAAGCTAAATATGTTCCTTATAGTGCATTACGACAAGTGTTTTGGAGAAAGTATTTGGAATCGTTTGATACGGATGAATCGGGTACGATTTCGAAGATCGAATTAGTCTCGATGTTAGATTCGTTGGGATCTACGTTGAGTTCAGAAACGATTGAAAGTTTTTTTCGTAGGTTTGAAGATGGGAAACCCAAGGGATTAAGTGAAGTTGAGATCGAATCGAAAGTGTTGAGTTTTGATCAAGTGATTTGTTGTTTAGAAGATGAATTGATTAAGAAACCAGAAGAGAAAAGGAAAGTTAAGAAACGAAAGGTGTATGATGAAGAAAGGGATTTAGGAATGAAGAGTGATGGTGGGGAAACAGAAGAAGAAGAAGAAGGGGATTTACCTTGTGAGGTGGATGTGCCACTTGGATTTGTTGGACATAATCCGGTTCATACGGTGGTTGAAAAAGAAGAATTGAATGAAGTGATCATTGGTGAAGAAAAGAAAGGAATAGAAGACATCGAAGTTGAAGACCCATCACCCAAAGAAGTAGAGGAAGAAGAAGAGGAAGAAGAGGAAGAGGAAGGAAAAGTGGAAAAAGTGATCAATATTTCAAGATGTCCGATCTGTCATAAAGAACGAATCAATTCAAGAATGGAGATTGATATAGTGACACATTTAGCAGTTTGTGCATCAACGGATTGGTCAAGTTTAAGACATATCTTATCACCTGGAAACTTTGTCACATCAAATCAAGCTAATCGAAAATGGTTTACAAAAGTGATTGGAAAAGTACAGAATGGAAAGTATTCATTAGGAGCGAATTCGGCCAATATAATTGTGAAAGATCGAATCACTGGTAGATTAGTAGAAGAAAAGATGCAAGTGATTGTGAGAGTTGGGATCCGATTGATGTATAGAAGTTCAGGATCGAAATCAAGAATGGAAAAAGAAAAGGTGAAGAAAATGTTAAAGTCTTTAACGATTAAACAAGGAATGAAGTATAATTCGATTGAATCTCGAAAAGAGATTTTAGGGTTTATTGAGTTTCATGAATTAAAGTTGGATGAGATTTTAAGACCGATTGAAAGTTTTGAAACGTTTAATGAGTTTTTTTATCGAGAATTGAAACCGGGGTGTCGAAAGATTGAAGGAGGAAAGAATGAAGAAGTTTTAGTGAGTTGTGCTGATTGTAGAATGATGGTGTTTGAAAACCTTGGAATAAGTAAATCGATTTGGATTAAAGGAAAAAGTTTTAGTTTGAAAAAAGTGTTGGGTGAATCGATTGAATTGTCAAGTAATGAGACAGAAGAAGAAGAAGAGAAATGGACGATTGGGATCTTTAGATTGGCCCCTCAGGATTATCATCGGTTTCATTCACCTTTGGATGGGGTTGTGGAACAGATCGAAAAGATTGATGGACAGTATTATACGTAAGTCGTCACGAAGGGTTACAAGTTTGATTTATTAAAACCAAATCGAACCAAACAGGAATAGATGATGTAATCATGAAGACTGATCTTTACTTTTTTTGAATATGTAGAGTGAACCCAATGGCCATTCGGTCAACAATAGATGTGTATGGAGAAAATGTGAGAGTGATCATTAGGTTCCAATCCAAAGGCTTTGGTAAAGTTTATTGTGTATTAGTTGGAGCCATGTAAGTTTTCTCAAACCCATTCAGTTTAGTGGTTTGTGTGTGGGTTTTTTTACTACTTTGAGTGATTATTGATTTGATTGAGGTTTTTTTGGGGGGTTTGTTTGTTTTAGGATGGTAGGAAGTATTGAGGTGGGAGTGAAAGTTGGAGACGTATTGAAAAAAGGTGATCATTTGGGCTATTTCGCTTTTGGTAAGTTTTTTGATTTTTTTGAATCAAATCAAATCAAATCTCTTGGTTTCTTTTTTGTATTGTGGTGAAACTGATGGATTTGATGCTTTTTTCTTCTTTTTTCTTCTTTGTTTGATTTTGATTTTTCTTTTGGGGGGCGTTAGGTGGGTCTACTATTTTAGTGATTGGGGAAAGTGAAATGATTGAATGGGATGAAGATCTTTTAATGAATTCAAGTTAGTGATTATATTTTTCTCTCATTAGCGGTACACAAATATCAAAACCGTATGAAAAACCCGCATGAAAAAACCACATGAAACCGCATGGTTTTTTTAGGTTTCCCCGCAAAAACCAAAAAAACCATGCGGGTTTTCATGCAGTTTTTCATACGGTTTTCCCATACGGTTTTGATATTTGTGTACCGCTATTTTCTCAATCTCATTTTTTTACGGATCTTGGAATTGATCAAACTGTTTTTTTGGTTTTGGTTGTTTTTGGTTTGGTTGGGGTTGTTGAATATTTTAGAAGCACCAATTGAAACTTTAGTTAGGGTTGGAAACCAAGTAGGAATTAAAAAGAAGAAGAAATAATGAGGTTTTTGTGGAGGTTTTTTTTCGTTTGAGAATGTGGTTTTAGAAATCGGGATGTGGTTTTGATTTTTTCATTGAATGAGGTGTCTTTCAGTTTATGAGCAAGGTTTTTCTCTTTATTATTATCATAGTGTAGTTTTTTTTGGTTTATTTATGGTTTAGATTTAGATTTAGATTTAGATTTAGATTTGTAGTTTGAATGGTTTTTTTTTATTTTTGGACTCTGATATAAGTTTAGTTGAACGATTTTTTCCTATACATGTTTTGTTTTGATCTGGCAAATTGTAATAAGTTGATTGTGTTGAGGAATGATAAGAATGTGTAAAAAGATTTTAGAAAGGTTTTGAAGTGGTTTTTTGTAAAAAAAAAGCTCATTTTTTCATGTTTTTTTCATGTTTTTTTACATGATAAAAGTTTGGATGTGTGGGTTTATTTTTAGAAGAGAAGGTTTTGGAGGTAATAGGAATTGAAATTGGATTGGTAGATGAAGAAATAGTTAAAAGTTTATGCTGGAAATGAACATATCAAAATTCAAGAAAATCCAACTCCTAATTATTGACAATGATCCAAGAGTTTTTTAGACGTTAGATTCAGAAAAACAAACCACTTTCTGGTGATACGTGATTTCATGGGATTATCATGATAGTTCCCTGTAAAACTCTGCAGTGAGGTATAAATCTTGGAAAAAGTTAATCATTCATCTTGAGTGATAAATATAGATATATATGCTACTATAATTCCCAAGACTCTTTAACTTCAACTTCAAGCAAAGGTGGTAAATTATTTGAAGGAAGACAAGTTTGGCGATACGGAGTGACTTCTTAGATCTCCTGATCGACCATTATGCGGTTCACTACTGCCAGAATGATTAACGTTCACGGACTTTCGTCGAGCCAATAGCTGTCCATAGCTTTGAAGAGTCTGAGAAATCTTTTCGTAAGATCAACGCGGTATAAAGAGGTATAAAGCCCTTCTTACCTTTAATCATGAGACTGATTCGGACTCAACTTCGCGTTTACGGCTACTCAGAGATGTTTTGGTATAGAACCGGGGTTCTTTGATTAAGATTTGAGTCGATTTCAGTCGCCATATACCTATAATTGGGTTCTACCCATGCGCCGCTTTTTCATCGAAACGAGGCTATGTAAAGCCAAAAACCACGCAGACTCAGTGGACACCTCATGAAGTGAAGGAGCGTGTGGCTCGTCTAGAACTTTCACTTCTATATCCATCTTACCAGTTTCCTATTTAACTGAATCTCAGCTACCTTGTTTTCATTTCCTACCTTGAATTCCGGGATCCTATACGAATCATAAATCAACATGCGAACTTCATTCTTTACTTGTGTGACCCTGATTATTGTCATCAACGGTAAGACAACAGTCCATGATGTTGGTGATAGTACGAAGATATGAGAGATTCATTCTACGTTTTTTCTTTAGGTCTTATCCAAGCTATGCCTATAGCCCACGGTGATCAAGACCATCCAGATATCCTCAGCGCATATATTTCACCTGCTGATCGAAACCAATTCAACCTCGCAAAGTCAGCTCATCAGCTTCCACAACACACGACAATCAATACTGATCCCAAGGATTCGGATCCGAATGGTCTGCTTCTTCGTACCAGAGAGCTCAAAGTGGCCCAACCAAATCAGATTGAAGCAAAACATGATTTTTTAGCTATCCGGACTAGAAATATAGCTGCTCTCAGTATTGGTTCAACTTCGGATGATGATAGTGATGATCTTAGAATCGTTCCTTTGTTTGATCGAGTAGGAAATTTTCGTAGTACACCATATTGAATTCACAACATTATATTTAAGATCCGTTTTTTTTTAGTTCAATTTCATCTTACAATTATTTAACAATACGTCGACGGTCACACTCATATGTTCGTTTTTCAAAGTAATGACTCCTTTTTCTTTGCTAGCGTAGCTGTTTTTTTGGCAATTTTTTTACATTTTTTTGTACTTGTAAATTTACTTAAATGAAGAAGTCATCGAGCTGTGAAAGAGGAAATCTTTTTGAATCTAAAGGTTCTGGCTCTTAGTACTCATATCTTTTTTGTCAACATCATCTCCGTACAGATAACAGAGTGCTCATGGGAGTCATTTTCCTTTGTGTACTTGCTTATTATACCACTGCTTTGTAAGACTCTCTTGTCATTTTCCTTGATGAGGAAACCTTCACGCAAGACTCCTTGCGGAGTTTTGGTTTTGGTACTTCTCCACTATTGAAATGTGGATCAATCTTGACAAATACGAGAAGTGCTTGATTGATAAATACATTCATTCGAGTCAACATTATTTCAAAGCCTTGAGTACAAAACGTCACAATACTGGTAAGCCAAAACTGGATAAGTCATATATGAGGTTTAGGAGGTTTACGAGAACGACCATTCATGCTTCTTCAATGAGAACAGCAGAATAGAAGCACGCTGGTGGTTGGTTACTCGAGGTAAACCATAGGAATTCCTTCCACAACGTAATCGATATTTACTCTCCTTGCATAGCTAGTCTGTTCAATATGGATAAACTTTTGCCAATCAAAATGTAAATTGAAATGGTACTACTAACCACATCCTAGGCGGCGGCCAAGCAGGATCAATCTCCTCCAAGTTACCCTTTCCCTTAAACTTGGACTTAATTTGGGCTTGTCCATTGAAGATATGTCTCTTCAACCTTTGCTGAGCTGATCCTTTCCACCTTTCAAATTCTTCCTGGTTTCTTTTTTGCCATGGAAAGATTTTGATATTTCCCAATGACCCTTTGAGAACATGAAAAGGGTTGTGATCCTCTCGTTGGGGATGTCATAGACCATCAATATCACGGTCCCTGTTTCTAAGGAAGAACATCAGGAACTCATCATTGCTCCTCACCTGTCAATAAGTTGCATTGCCAGATATCTCCAGGTTGTATACACTGGTAATCTGTGGTCTAAAAGCTACTTTGACTGGCCATTGGCCCTCCATGAACAGAATAGATCTTGAACTGATAGTAGCTACTTCAGCATTACCTAGCTAACCTAAGTAGGAAACCACAGGTCAAACCAGTTTATGGCGGATTGGGATTATGGTCAGGCACCATGTGGTGCAAGCAACCACACTGTCTAAAAGAATGGGGTTGTGATTAGAAGAGGTGAGTTCAAAGGCTTGAGATCTCAAAGATGAATGGGTAGCCAAACCTCCAGATGCTCTGGGACAACTGCTGTTGGTGGTGACATGAGGAGAGCTTAATTTCAGGTTTACTTACCAGCATTCAGTGGATGTATGGCCTTAGAACATAGTGTTGCTTCAGAACAATAAGGGACAACTGGTTTGTTGAAGATAAGAGGACATTGAGTGGTTGTTTGTTTGAACGGTCTAGACTGTGCAGCTACAGCAATTGTTTTGGAATGATCCTCTTTGTCCTTCATATTGACAAGTTCAAGGTACTTGAGGACATTTCCTATGGCCAAGGGTTGGTATTTTTGTAGTACATCTTTAGTGATGTTCATGGACAAGGGCAACTTAGTGACAGCAGATTCACCAAGATAAGACTGCAAAATAATAAGTTTTCACCCAATAAATATGGCCTCAAATGTGGTATAGATTTAGCTGTCATTTGATGTATGTATTCAGCTTCTTTGTCCGCAAGTGGCCCAACTCTATTGGGTAGCCATACATGAAGGTTGCAAGGACTCTGTACCCATACCTATTTTCAACATACAAGGAGTTTTCTGTGGCTCAACTTCAAGAAGATCCACAATCAGCAGAAACAGTGTTTTAAGCACCTCTGGTCCCTGGACATCTAGTGAAGTGGTCTCAATTGGGGGAACTCAAGTAAGCTATGCCACATCTCAGAATAGAAAAATGTGAGGTTTGTCAAATTTTTTGAAATCAAAAGACTCATTGTCAGAAAGGCAAATAAAATTGAAAAGGCCCTGCAATATCATCAGTAAAAAATCCAGTAATTCATTCAACTTTCTTCAAATTGCATTGTCCATGCTTATTGGACAGGTTCTGCAGAACATCCCTGACTTTTACAAGCTTTTACAATCAACATCCATTATATTGTGGTATCTTTTCATGACAATCAAGTATTGTTTTTTTCTTAGCTGATTTCCCAACCTAAAAAAGCCCCTCTTGACAAGCAAGCCTGCAAGAGAGGGACTTGGGGGTTATCAACAAAACTTGGCGTGTGAGCCAGAAACTTTTGGCTGAGGAGCTTTTCAACACGCCATAACTTCTTACCCTTGGAACAAACATTCTTCTGACTAAAGAAGGTTCCTGTGCGCCTGCTCAACCCGCATACATTCATGTATCTAATCGTGTATTTGATCCAATGATTGCAGAGCAATGAAAGGCTGAAGTTTGCAAAAAAAACAAAATCTCTGAGAAAGCTCACACCTGCCAAGCTGAAATGTTCCATGTGAACCCATTTTTCAAGTCTTTCTTCAGTGATTTCCTGAGACCAAGAGAGAGATTACAAAGATCCAGTATGTGTAGGTTGAGCAGGTGCACAGGATCTTTCTTTAATCCACAGACTGTTTATCTTCAGGGTAAGAAGTCATGGCGGGTTGGAAACTCCCCAGCCACAAGTTTCTTGCTCATACACCAAATTCAATGGATAACCCATGCCAATGGGCCATAAGACCCTCTCTCACAGGCTTGCTTGCTGAGAGGGACTTTGTTAGGTTAAGCTCACGTCGTTAAAACCGGCTGGAGGCGTCTTCAAAAATACGGCTGCACACTGAACCGAGTCGGACCTGGTCGGATACGTACACAGTGGGGTTTTCTTCGGGGCCGGGAAGGTGCTTTTTGACAACTCTGACAATGTGACCATGATTGGCACTTTACTCTGGAGCCACCGCAACCTTGATTTCTAACCATCGCATATATTGTGATTGCAAGCCTCGTTTGCGACGTGCACGATAGATCGCTCATTGGTCGGAAGATACCTTTATCCTCTTCAGCTATGGCGCTAAAGCTTAATATGCGGTTATCGGCGAGCATCCCTCTTTCAAAACCAAGGATTAGACATGCGAAACGGTTCTCAACCACCATCTTGTGTAGCAGTGGTCAACCAGGTTGGGTCAGGAGGGCTTTCTTTTTGAAGTGGCACGATGTTGATTGAACAGGATGAACTGATGTAATTCCTTCTTGTCATCGAAGCTGTGCCTCACCAAACCGAATGGACTACCGTCCAGCGAGATCGCTTTCGTGTCGATCACATGTCTAATGTACCCTCGTCAATTTTGTCCAAACTTGAGACAAAACTACCCAACGACCCGGCTCATCCACTCGGAATACTCAATAATTTAATACACGAACAGATGCACGGATTCGAAAGACTCCAGTTCCCATCGGCTATAGTTACGCCTACCCAAAATTTCGATGACTTGGGATTCGCAGCTGATCACCCTGGCCGGAGGAAGGGAGATTCCTACTACTTGAATTCAGATTACATGTTACGGACTCATACGTCGGCTCACGAAGTGGAGGCATTTTCTCAAGGGAAAGAGAAATGGCTTTTAACTGCGGATGTTTACCGTCGCGATGAAATCGATGCTTCGCATTTTCCGGTCTTTCATCAAGTAAGAGTGTACTTGATCATCCCACTTGGAATGCGGTGAAGTAATTATCTACACACTTCTCTTTTCGGAAACAGATGGAGGGGGCTTGCGTGCTACCTCAATCTGATATGGATCAACTTGCTAGCGAAACCCATGAGATACAACGGTTTTTGGCGACCAAAAATATTAAAATCGAAGATGATACCAAAGTGGACTCACAAAACCCTTTCCAAGCTTGCCATAATTCAGCTCAAGCCATGACTGTCATCAATCATCTCAAGGCTACCATCAACAGACTCATCTATGGCGTCTTTGCAGGTTTGGACGCTAAACAACAGGCGTCTCTTCAGATTCGATGGATCCCTGCGTTTTTCCCATTTACAAGCCCAAGTTATGAAGTTGAAGTTATGTACATGGGAAAGTGGCTCGAAATCTTAGGTTGCGGGCTCGTCAATCAACTCACGTTGGATAAGGCTAGTGAGTGTAACAGCTCAATCAAGTGATGTTAATCTTGAAGCTGATACGAAGATTTCAGAGGTTCCAAGTAAAATGGGATGGGCATTCGGTCTTGGATTGGAAAGAATAGCCATGATCTTATTCTCCATCCCAGATATTCGTCTGTTTTGGTCAAAAGATCCTAGATTTTTAAATCAATTCCAGCCCGGAAAGGTTTCTCAGTTTCAACGCTTTAGTAAAAACCCACCATGCTACAAAGACGTCAGTTTTTGGCTTCCAGAAACTTTTGAAGCAAATGATATCTTTGAGTTGATCAGGGACGTCGGTGGAACATGGGTGGAGGAAGTCAAATTGGTTTGTCAAACGCAATTTGATTCGCTTTAATTTTAAACTGATTATATCGTATTTCTTTTACTTTTACAAACTACAAAGATTGATCAATTTGAGCATCCTACAACGAAGCGTACAAGTCACTGCTACCGGATCACATACCGATCAATGGAAAGGTAAGTGACAGACTGGCTCTGGCATCTTCTGCAATTACTAATTCTTGGTATGATTTGTAGGAATCTATCAAACGAGGAGGTGAATGTTACCCAAGCCCGAGTATGTGAAGCGCTGAAAAGCCAAATGGGGCTCCAGTTCCGGTGAGGTAGCAAACCGTGAAATGTCGAAATAATCATTGGATCATGGGACGAGCCTCTTGCTGGGACTAGATGCCCTACCAATCGAAGTGCATGTTGCTCAAGTTAAGATTGCAGAAAAGAGAACACAGCATAGATGATGATACCCTAGTCAATTGAATTGACTAAAATGCTGAACATTGCAACCTAAAGATATTCACATAAGTATTCATCATCTAGCTTTTCACTGAGAACGAAAAATGTTAGACCCCTTGATTTAAGTGGCTCAGAAACTACGAAACATAATTCTTGCCAAAGTCGATTATTACATCCACAAAGTAACTCCAACACTGCACTTTGTGAATTGGAAAAATATCCTTGTCTCGTATTGACAAGGTGTTTGGAAGATATGTACCTCCCCTTTGTTCAATCCAATAACGGGCTGGCACTTACTACACCACCATGATATATACACTGTTCATCACAGACTCATGAGACCCTTGGGAAATAGCATGTCATATATTATTATAACCACTCAAGCCTTGTGGGTTGTATTGTGCTCCAAAAACAGTCTTGATCAGGATTATCAAAAAGATAACAGCACCCACTATGGTTGTGTTAACAACATGATATAGTGTCAGTTTATTGCCAAAATACAGCCAGGTCCACTGTGGACCTGTTTTAGACCTGTGGTCCATACAACTGTGTCAAATCTTTCACCCCGCGTGTTCAAATCTGCAAACACCTACAACTTGATTTTTTGTAGGAACTAAGTAAAGCAGACAGTAAATCATCCCACAGTGGATTTCATGTGGTTACCAACTTGGGTAACACATACACCGTGTCCGCCATAAATGCGCCGGACGTCCGGTGAGCTCTGCCTACAGCAGATGTTCGGTTTTTCTACAATCTTTGTTCTACAATGTTAGAATGACTGAGCCTCGCAGTAGCCACTGCTCACTGAGCCAGCTTCAACTTCCGCGTTTAACTCAGTCATATTCAAGCCATCTCACTGAGTGGACTGGACACCACCTGAAGTACCATCTTTACCATCACTCATTGTTCAAATTGTATGTATGTGTAGTTCTATCTGAGCATTTTTCGAAGATCCTTGATTAACGAGCACTATCCTTATACTGACCAAACAGAGTTGTTTGTGGCATGTGAGATATCTAAACTTATCAAAGTCCCACGCTCGCGCATCCTCGCGAGGCGTCGAGCGAGGGACTTATGCCAAACTTGCACAAACTCCTTACTCAGGGTTGGAGGCTTTTGCAGGAGAGCACCTTCAAACCCCTCTACTGCCTTTTCCTTCAAGTAACGGAACTCTGGACCCAAGAAAAAAAATGTTCACAGGTCTTTTGCACACATTGTACATGTTTTTTTTCCCCGAGGAAGTTGCTCCCCTCATTCCATAAAATCGTCTCAAAGTTTCTAAAAAACTTTCACCTGTAACATGTAGCATTGTAGTGTCACTGCTGCGAGTGTTAAGTATCTTTTGTTTTTTCTATTTTGTCCAAGTAAGATAACACTCGAGTCACAAAAATTGTATTGGGTTTGATATGGATCAGAGAATAGTAAGTCGACATCTACTTTCATTGATGGGTCATTAGATTGGTTAGCAGTTAAAAAACAATCTTTATGACATTTAAACATCGATCTGTGGAAGAAAAAGAAAGCGAACGATTCGGTTTTGAAACCCATCAAATCTGGATATCAATTTCTTTAAAAAATTTTTATAAAAGATAAAAAACTCGATGAAAAAAGAATTGAAGATCTACTTTACCTTAGACTAAAAGCAAGTACACGAGAATAAATTTGTTGAATAAAAGTAGATTCTAAATGAAGATTACCATGATAAAGATCCCAAGGATTAGCCAAGACCACAGCTGTTCTTAAGATACTGGCTTCATCAAAGTACTGACTAGCACCCGTCTTCTATAGATGAGGCGAGGATTAATTCCTAAAGCATATACAGTTTCGGCACGAGTTTTGTCGTGTTTTCTCCTCCGCAGTCTAGCTACATAAAGCTCACACATGTTACATCTACATACAAATTTTTAGAAACTTTGAGACGATTTAAAGAAAGGAGGGGAGCAACTTCCTTGGGAAAAAAAACATGTACAATGTGTGCAAAAGAATGGCGAACAACCTTTTCCTTTGGTCCAGAGAACCATTGCTTGAAGGGAAAAGCTGTAGAGGCCTTTTAAGGCGCTCTCCTGCAAAAGCCTCCAACCCTGAGTAAGGAGTTTGTGCAAGTTTGGCATAAGTCCCTCGCTCGACGCCTCGCGAGGATGCGCGAGCGTGGGACTTTGCTAAGTTTATGAGATATCCTACTATTTTACTGTATTACTGTTGAAACGTGAATCCATGATTGTACTGATTGTACAGAATTTAATAAATCAACCCGCTTCCACCTGTAGCTGAAAGTTGACTACATAGCTGTTTTTCTCATCGATTGGATTCCATCTGATTCAACTTCTTTAATTGAATCTTTCATTTCTTTTAATAATTTCTGATTGAGTTCTTCTTCATGTTTTAATGATTCGATCTTCATCTTACGTTCTTCTCTTTCTTGATGAATCTTTCTTTGTTTCATTCGAATAAAACTACGTTTATCAACACTACAGATTGAAATTTAAAGGAAGATAGTGATGATCAGGAAGGATTTCGATTCATAGGAAAGCAGAAGAAATCTTGACTTACTTTGGATGAACTTCAACGTCGGAATCATCCGAGAGCTAAGATGATAAGAGAAATTAGAGTCAGTTTCCATATCAATAAGCTTGATATGATGTTGGATTAGTTCACCTCAAGAGCATCCCACTTTGAATAATTGAGAGGCATCTTCAAATCGCAATTCGAATTCGAATGATATCTCGTCACGTTATCATGATACATGTTTATTATTTCTCGGGCCCATTCTTTTGAAGTGAATGAGCCATGTGATCTCACCCCCTCGAACTCTTTGTCAGTTCTTGAATATCTTGAATTTTTGATTCAAGCCCCTAAGGCGTGTTCCTAGTGAGTGCGGTAAGAACAACCATCAAAGGGCACAAGATTGGTCCTGAGCAGCTCACGACTCAACTACCTGCGCCAGCAGGTTTGAGTGAGCAGACGTGAAAGTTACAAAGGTTCGGCTAACCTTGCTTAGCTGAAGGTCACGCGCCTAAAGCGGGCGCTTTTTAGCGAATACTCGAAAATGCTGCACTTCTGCTGGACTTTCAAGCTCACCGGGCGTCCGGCGCACTTTTGGCGGACACGGTGATACATGTTCAAATTTTGTGCTCAGGAACATGGAATTTACAATACAAAACTCCCACCATAGTGGATGCTCTAAGGGTACTGTTGTGGTTGGATAAAGTCCTAGGTTTTGTGTCAGTGTTGGCTCTTCATGAGGTCCTGGAAGTGTTGGTGAGCTAGGCATTTGGTTTGTGATACTGACATAGAATTTTTCTCCAAGTGTGTTGAACCTGAGCAAGTATCTGTATATGTATAATGATCTCTATACACAAAGAAGTGCAACCAATGGAGATCAACAAAAAGCAATAACCAGTCACCCGGGTAGTAAACAAGCTTGACATGAGATAAATTGAGTCAGATAACACTACAAAAAATATAATCTTTACCAGACAGAAAAGAAAACCAATGATGTAGAAAAATCCTGAGGCAACAGGAACAGAGCAAAAAAGCTAAAAAAAATTGCACCTTATTCCATTATGAGTCTTTTTTCATATTTTACACACCAATATTGGTTGGTGTACTAACAAGAAATGGTGAACATTATCAAAGACCCACCTGCAACAATACCTGATATTTGGCCCATGATTGTGAAGACAGTATTCTGTGGTCCAAAGTCAACAATGACTTTTGCAATTCTACTCCAAATAACTTGATTTTTGGTTCATTCAAAAGCTGAACTATTCTCCTTTGTAAAGAAAGTGTGGTGTTATCTAGTCATGTAAACACTCTATATCTGTTCAAATGGTCTTGCATAAATAGCTATGTAGAAAGTTTTGCAGAACGGCTACAGATGTGATGTCTAAATGATAATTGTAGGGGAAAGACTCACCTTTGCAATGAACTTAAAATCAAGTGATTTGCTTCAGAACTGCAAAAGTTATTGCATCACGAATGGATCCAAATGTATCACAATTTATATGACCTGCTATTACTAATATTTCTACTAGATCAATGAACTTGATCATGTCAGTTCCATACAATTCACCATATTTTATCTCTTGATGAGGATTTTAATTATAGTGATTTAATCTCACTATTTTTTGTCATTGATTGAAAGATCGAGAAGATTTGAAGACCATTGGTCAATGATTGATTACCAATTTGTGATCAAAAATGATAAGACTTTTGAATATAATTCTTTTGGTGGTTGGTCCCATCTCACATGGTCTGAGTGAACAGTCACCTTGTGGTGTGAGTCTATGAATATCTCTTATAACAGGACTACTTGACACGATTTTCTTCTCAAATTCTGCTATCTGTTCTATAGGTATGGCCAGCTGCTGCTTTTATATTTTTCATATCTTCCCAAGTTTTTTTATTTTGATCATCTTCCATATAAGTTACGTAAGTGATTCAAGAGGAAGAGTATTGACTGTAGAGATAGATCACTTTATTAGATGTGTTGAACTTTTTCCTCTTGATTCCTGAGGTGGAATTCTGCAAAGAAACATGCCACTCAACAGGGTTATAACTTCTTGCTAAGTCCAAATTCCACAGTCCATCTGTGCTTTTTACATACTTCATCACCCAAACTGAGTGTGCAAGAACATCTCCTTGAAAACAATATCAAAGATGTACCAATAGAAAAATAATCTTCATCATAATTTGAACACTAAATCTTTGTGTTTGTGGAAATAGAAAATCTGATTTTAAAATTCCAAATGATTTTGACCCTGTCATGAAGACCTGAAGGGTTTTACAACTTTTTCTGTTTAACACCAGATCTTGTTTTGTGATCTTTCATTCTTATTTCCTTCCAATAAGTTTTTGATCAAACTATGTGAAACCTGTCTAATAATAGTTCAAAAATTGAACCAAAGTATGCCAACCATCTTCGTACTTTGGCAGTTTGTATGCCGTCAGCTATGACAATTCATTCACCAAACACACTTGGTGTGCTCACATACCCTAGAACTGCGCAAGGCCCAGGGTTTGAGTTTGCGGTTGGCTTTGTGGTTAGCTTGAACAAGCCCTCTCTGCGCGGCCATGTCCGCGCGCCTTGCAGAGGGGCTTGGGACTAATCATCAAATTCTGGCATGGAGACTCCAAGGATTAAGTCCTCTTCAGTTGTTTTTTGCTTTTTCCGGGTTTCCTTGCTGATAAACACTAATTTCCCTTGCAGGCAACCGTCTTCAGCACAATGTTGTACACATCCTGGTATGCGCATATCTTAGATATCCTGGGTGATGTGGCCAAGAAAATGAGATGAAAATCTTTACAACAATGCCCTTTTTGGATTTCAAGTCGCTTTACGTTGTAAATACAGGCTGTACAGTGCGGGCCACCCCTTACAGGGCAGACATAAAGCTTGAAAAGGAACCTCAAGCTTCACCAAATGGAGGATTTTTCCGGGTCAATCAGTGGTGAAACACATGTGCAAAATTATTTCAAAGCACTTTGCCTGCAAGCCAAACTGTTGTTGATCAGTGAGGAACGCCGGAAAAGCCAAAAAACAACTTAAGAGGACTTAATCCTTGGAGTCTCTGTGCCAGAATTTGACGATTAGTCCCAAGCCCCTCTGCAAGGCGCGCGGACGTGGCCGCGCAGAGAGGGCTTGTTCAAGCTAAGCTTTGTGGGCTGTATGCATTTTGAAATGGCATGACACCGGCAGGCAGCTAATTGCAGTCACCTTCGTCAATTCAATCTGGAACAGACTCCATCTTTCCCTGCCTACAAAAGATGAACCCAACATCTAAAACCACCTTAGCTTCAATCAATCATAAAAACCATCTTAAACTTTCAAAGAACCACTTTCATTTCAAAAAATCAATCAATTCACACCATAACAATGCTTAACAAAAACTCATCAAACAAACAAACAAACTAAAACTAAAACTTTATCAAGTTAACTTTCACAAAAGGAATTGATTAACTTTTAACCAATTCTTTATATCTTCTAAATCTCTCTTTAACCATTTAGCTTGACTATTAACTTTTTCTAAACCTTGTGAAAGAGCAGAATGGAAAATTGAACAACTAAATATTGATAATGACGTTTCATCAGTTTAGATTGCCCTTCTTCCAATATGGTATAATATTTTTTTGGGAAATAACTTACTCTTTATCTTTAAAGAACTCTTCTACCATCTTTGCATCTTCTTCTGTTGTAAAACTTGAAAATGATAATTGAAATAATCTTCCAATTGAGAAATTTCCTTTAAATCGTTTGATCAGGTCATCGTAATCTGATTTAACAAACTCCCATATCTTTCTTCTAGTGACTTTGTTTCCACTCAATCCAGCAAAGAAGTACATACTGAGAGATTAACAAAACGCGTATTAGTGAAATTCTTACAAGCTCGGATGTACCGAAGGCACTCAGTTTTCAAATTCATCCTCTGCACTCACAAGTCTTGTTCTTTCACCTCTCCACTTAAGATCAAATCACTGTTTTTTGAAGTCAAAGAAATCGAGTCAATAGATCACCCCTCATCACTTTATCAGACTCAAAAGTATATCAACGCTTACAATGTTTTCTGAATGAGTTTCTCTTGTGTGGTTGCACAAAGTGCATACATCGCTGCAAGCTTCTCCGATGGGTTCGACGGCTTTCTGTAGATTGCTAGTACACTTTCATACTCTTTTTCTCCTCCGTACTTGACTCCAAATGTAAAGATCATATGCCTTAGATCTGCTGGTATAGCTGATGCTTTCTGTGACTCAGTATATTGCTTGAACCGTTCTTTGATCTCTGCTAAAACCCTACAATAACAATCCCAAAACAACATCAGCACCTATTTTCTCATCTGCTAGTGAAGTAACAAAGTCCAAAAAACTACAATGCGAAGGAATAAATGAAACAGACTTGGGATCCTTGGCAGCTGCTGCGGCTTGTAAGATTTTAACTCGAAGTTGAATCCGATCTTCAGTCTCTTCCGGACCGTTTCCCTCAAAGCCAATATCCTTGGCTAAAGCTTCTACCAGCTGAAGCCTGAAACGATCAAAGCTATCTACCAACTTTTCGTCTTGTTCCCATAGTATGCCTGCAACCGCCCCTGTACCTGTCAGAATTTCTGACCAAACCAAGTAGTTTCTCTCGCTTCCAAGAGGTTTTAAGAAATCGAGAACAGTCGAGGTGGAAGAGTATCCGGCTTGGGCTAGTTCAATCGCATCCTGAATCAGACCCATTCTATCGGCAACGGTAAAGACCGAGTCAACCTTTGCGATTTCAGCACCAAGGCTCTTTAAGCGGTCGGCGGGATAGCGAACTCGGTCTGTAACATAGCAAGCCGTCTATCAACCCAATTTGTCCCTGGTAAAGTCCAAGCAGGTACCACAGTGGATGCTAAAGCTTACAGACACCGCATGTATCCGCGTTGAGTTTGTAAACCAAATCCTTTACCTTCGGTAGGGAAACCGAGACTTCCCTTTGAGACTCCATGATATCATGTTGGATCTGGACTGATCCATCTTGTCCAACGGTCTTGATCTCTAATGGCACATACCAAAGAGTCTCATCTTCCTCGGGCTATGTAGAGCAGTGATCAAAATCAAATCCCCAACCTATGTAGTCTAAGTTGTACTCACTTTGGGATCTCCAGTTGACAAGAAACGGTTTTGAGTGATCTTTAATCCATCAGCATTCTCTTCAACGGTCAAGATCGGGAATCCGATCTTTCCGGTCCAATTGCTCATTATCTTCTCAATGTCCTTTCCGGTTGCCTTTGCGATACCGGCCCACAGGTCTTTGGTTGTCCCATTTCCATAGAGATGCGCTTTGAGATACAACGAACTGGAAAGAAATACATTAGTCTTGTATACTCATACGATAAATAATAAAAAGGAGCAGAAAATACCTACACTCCTTTCAAGAACTTTTCTTTGCCTACAAAGTTGGCCAACATCTTCAAGATCGAAGCTCCCTTGGAATATCTGAATAGAGAGAAGCAACATGTGGCAGAGAACAGTTCGAGGTCAACAACAAACTAATCATGCTGGACTTTGATTAAATTAAACGAGTCAAAACTGCCTACGAAATTGCATCAAAGATCTGATTGATCATCTCAGGATCGGGACACGGAACCTCGACGGCGTGAGATGATCTCTTGGAGTCAAGAGAGAGCGCTCGCGAAAGGTGAGCGTTGATGAAGTCATCAGACGCATACCAACTTGGCTCGATCTCCTCGATCACCACCAGTTCTCTGTGGCGTGCATCAACCCGAAATTAGCAAGTCAGGATTGAAATATCTCAAAGAGTGCAACATCACGTACCCCATCAAGGTGGCAAAGGCTTCATTGAGCCAGAGTTCTTGCCACCAACTCATAGTGACTATATTTCCAAACCATTGATGGGCTACTTCGTGACTTTGAGTAGTCACTACTCTTTTTCGGGCCCCGATGCCTGATGCCTCGTCACACAAGCCCACTGAAGTCTATCAGAGCAAAAATTAGACACCAAGACTTAGCTTAGGAAATTACTGATATAGATGATTGATCGAGGGAAGATCAAACTGACCCTACAGGTGATTAAACCCCACTAGTGCATGCCCACTCAATTTTAGTAAGTCTCTCCATTGCCATAGATATCGAACGCTGAGGAAAGTCATAGAAGTAGAGTAGTAGTAGTACCAACTTACGTTTTCCATGGCACCTGCATCGAAGTCAGAGGCCACTAAAGTATCAAGCTAGAGATGACAACAGTCAGTCAGTCAGTAACTCATAGTAAGTAGCTATTTTGAAGATCAGGTGGATTTACCTTAGAAAGAGGATAAGGGATATCGAAGATCTGAACTCAAGATAGTGGTAAGCATCTCGAGAATAACGAGTGAAGCAGGGTGAGAGCTTAGCCAACTTTTTCATATACTGGCAAGATTCGAGCGGTGGTGTCGAGCAAGAGTTGCGTTTGATGGACATGTTCACCAGTGGCGAACACTCTAAGCGGAACCTTTCTGTTGGTCAAAGGACTGATGTAATGTCCCTCCTTGGAGTGAAAAGGACCTGGAATCAATAAAAAGTCAAGAGGTCAGTTAAATCTCTCGTAGTCTCTTCAATGATTCAAAGACATCAGCTGTTTACCATTTGCCCATGCGACCAAGTAGGTTGAAACTTTAGGAGTGGGTTCAAATTTGGTCAAGACCCAAGCTTTGTCTTCGCTTGCATTTGTGTCTAATCCCTCAAGGTTAGTGATCAGATCCGAGGCTTTGAAAGTCCCAACAGATGGTTCAGAAGAGGTAGGGGAAGTGTTGGCCAATGCAACCGTGTCAGCTCGAGTAATGAGCGAAACTTGAAAGGTGGCCTCTGTAAATTAGATTGGTTTGGAGAATGATTATGTCAGCAGGATATATGCGCCTGAAATCGGACAACAGTAGAGATCAACTCACTGATTGCAGGCTCATCCCAGCAGGGGAATGCGCGACGAGCAGCAGTAGGTTCAAATTGAGTCAAACCATAGACACCTTTCTTTCCTTCGAAGGCATATGTAGCTTTATAGTAACCCATCATGTTACCTTCCAATTCAGCCTTGAAAACCATTCCAAGTGTAGCCTTAGTATTAGCCGGCAACGGTTTGGATAACACCACTGTGCAACGTTCAAACTTGTGATCGAAACTGATTGATTTGGCTGGCTCGGGAGTGTTACCCAAACTTTCAGCTTGGATGACCACATTGAGGACTGAGAGAGACTGAGCAGCATGGAAGGTAATAGTATCTGTTTCGGACTTGATCAAGATATCAATTTGAGCCGTTCCTTGAAAAGTAGGAGGAGTTGACTCGAGATCGGTTTTGATGATTAATGCATAGTGAAGTGGTATGACATCATCCGATAATCGATACTTTGAGTCATCAGCAGTTGAGTTCTTTGCCATTTTTGGATTTTGAATGAAGAGCTTGTTGATAAAGTAAGTTGCGATAAGAACAATAAAACTGATTAAGAAAGTAGATTTCAAGCTTCTTGGTTGAAGTTTCTTGACTTCTTTTAGTTTGATTTGTTGAGCTTTAGAATTCCCGAATGACATACGATCAACTTCGGATTGGAAGTTGGAAATCAGATGGATCGATTTACCATTTTACTGAACAGGTCAAGACATTTCATATTTCACAGATTTCTCCAAATTTTGAACATCTCCAGAAACGTATCAAAGTCACCCCCCGCCTGGGTAAACAAGAAGTTAGCTTATAAGCTCGGACCGGATCTTCGACTCTAAAAGATGAGAATGAGATGGGTTGGCATGGCTGAGCACTTGAAGTTGCAAAGTCAGCAATGTCATTGGAGATAGATTGGACATCACTTTCACCTTTACTGGCCAAGACTCTAACTGATCAACTTAATCGAATACTACCATCAGTACCTTTACCAACATTTCTAGATCCAATCATCATTCAATCAGTCGAGTTTGGTGATAGTTCTCCTGAGATTCAAATCATCGACATTCGTGATATCAGTAAAGCTTTCTCTGACGCTGATATACGAGCTCAATCATCAAGATCTCAGCAAAATTATAATGAATCCGCCTCTCCATCACCTGCCGATCGGTATCCTCCCGACTCTGATAGTCGATTTCTCGGTTCTAGACCTTCTCCTAGTATCGCAACTTCCTTCAATCCCAATCGGTCTCATCAAGCAGTAGAAACTCCACGCGATCATGCAGCTTTCCTTACTCCAACCCATTCAAACTTCTCAGACTGGCGGAATACACAACAATCCTCAAGAGCTCCTGAACCTAGACTTCCATCACCTCAAACTCGTAGCTCATCTTCTCAACCATCACTCGAATTACATTTACGAGTGACCTATTCAGGGAACATGCGGATCGACCTATCAACTGCACTGGTCCTTAATCATCCTGCACCGCTCTTCATGAGTTTGCCTGTCAAGATGCGAGTGATGGGATTCGTATTTACAGCTGAAGTGATCTTGGCCATTGAAGCTGATCGATCAAGATGTCATTGTACAATCATGGAACCTAGTCCAACTTCAGATCAAGAAGTTGATGATGGACTTCATCCATCTGAACTGACGCCTGGTGCAAGAATCTTACCGGAAATGCTTATCCACACTGAAGTTGGTAATGCTGATAAACATGTACTGAGAAATGTGGGAAAAGTTGAAAGGTTTTTACTTGATACATTACGTCGAATTATCTGTGATGAACTCTTGTTTCCGGTAATGTTTTTTATAAATCTCTTTTTATTCAGATCTGGAGTATTTTCAACTGATTCGGCATTGTTTTGCGATATAGACCTTTCAGACTTTTGATTGGTCATAGAGGAACGAAAATCTATTCAAAAATATAACGTATACTACATTCACCTATAACTTCGAATGTGATCTTGCTACATCATGTAATATCTTTATCAATAGACAGTCAAATTCAGCAAGGTTCAGTCAACACCGCAACCGCTACGCTCCGCTCAGGTTTTCGACCTATTTTGGGAGCGGAGCGCAGTGCTGCGCTCAATCTCACTACGCACAATATCGCTCTTTTTTATTTTTTTTCTTACTTTGGTGTGCGTAGTGCAACACCAGTGTGCGGCGCTCATCACTACAAAAGACCTGAAAAGTCTAAAAAAACCATAAAAAAGAGACTCGAGCCCTGGCTCTGAGCGGAGCGATATGCTTCGCTCAGGACTTTCCTCTCCTCGGAGCGCGGTGCGCAGCCTCCGCTCTGGGTAGCGGAGGTTTGAGCGGATGCCAAAACCGCTCCGCTCACGCTCCGCTCGCGCTCATTCGAGCGGAGCGGTTGCGGTATTGGTTCAGTCTCACCCATTACACCTGGTATCAGATTCTACACCATCTCAAACCCGAGGTGAGTAATTGTCCAAAAACCCATTGTGACAATGCACTTAATTAAGAAATGATGTTTCATGTGATTGCTCATGTTGATCTTGAAACCAAAACGTATTATTTGGAAGGACTGGAATTGCCTATCCAACAAATGCTATACAATTCTTCAAGCGAAATTTGTCAGATGTACAGCCTCGATCACATCATGGATGCAAAGGATAATTGAAAAATGTAAAATTTATGAAGATCATCCTCAAAGTTTCAACTCAGGATTGTTAGTCTACTTCAAAGATGATCATGTTTTTGAATATTAGAGCTCATATATTCAAACAGGATGAGCTAAAAGATAATGATTTTCCAAAACCAAAAACCCACAAAAGGTTTGACTTCAAGAATGATGCTTAGTTCTCAATATCTAGGTACTACTATTTTGTTATATGTTGGACATTGAAAAAAGATAACAAAGTTTTTTACTACCTTGAAGCAGATTAAACTTCAAAATTCACCACTGAAAACCAGACAATACGTTTATTTCAATGGTCTATGATTCTATCTTCAATTGTAGGACATTGTTTGTTGACTGAGTGATTGGAGTTTCTTATTAACAGGATGTCAACTCCTGACAATAAATGGCTGTGATACACATGAAAAACAAAGCAAGCTCTGAGACTCCAGGTAAGTCAAATGGAAGCTGTGAAGGGTGTTTCAATTCAGGCTGGGGTGTGTCCTTTTCTCAAAAGGTGCACCAGCGCACCTTATTCCACTCAACAACCACACCTAAATGCCACTGGATGCATTGGATCATCCACAGCCGTGCCGTAAATATGTAAATTACAGATGTTTGAGGTGGTCTCATGCCCAGCCGTCTACCTCAAACACTCACTTAGCTTAGGGATTTCTCTGTGTACAAGCCAAAATAAGCCAAATGACTTCTATTTTGGTTCACAGCCCAACACCTTCTGTACCTTGCTTCTCCCATAAACTACAAAATTTACAATCAGACTCTCAGCCAATCAAACACCTCAATCATCATACACCTCCTAAATTATGCTACAAGCCGTACTGCAGGGAACCACAGATGTTGATTGTTCAAAATCCTTACCTTAAATGTGTCCCTAAACAATCTGTCAAACTTCTGTACGTTACAAATTTACGGCGTGGCTGTGGATGCTCTTAGGCGCACTTTTTTGATATAGAGCAACTTTCTCCTGCAGGGATTGGGGGTTCTTGGGGGTTTTGAAGGTGTAATTCATCCAATAACTTCTTGATTCCACTCCTCCTAGATTTTAACTCAAGTTAAATGCTTAGAACCTTACTCTCTATGTTCATGATTTCCTGCAAGTATCAATCTTAGCAAAGTTTCACCAGTGAGACCACCAGCACCAGCCATCATTCTATGTGATCCAATGGAGATTGGATCCAAGTATATCCAGATGGAGCAATCAGCATGCGCAACCAAAAAATGAAACTCATACAGATTTGTTCCACCTTTTCTTCCTCTTACATTTCTACATATTTTATTCATGTGAGGGGGACTTGTTGATACCTGGACTGTTGACATATTGGACACCTCAGGAACACTTGAATCAGCATTCCAATCTGTACAAGAAATAGAAGTCAGGAGAAGAAAGCAGAGTGGTGGAGTGGTGGATTGAAATCAATCAAAATGGAAGGTGATCAATGGTTTTGAGCTGGGATATAGCTCAAAACCACTGGTATGCTGGATGGGGTTTTGGATCAATCCCCATCCAGCAGACCAGGCTTTGGTTAGATATTCAATTCAGGGCCAAATTCACCCTTTTCAAAAAGAAGAACAAGCTTTTGAGCAGATGCAGTACTTGGATCAAAAAGTATTGCAATCAATTGGAAAGCTGGACTGAGTATGTATCATAGTAGTCAATCTGAGGACATCTTCTGTTGCTTCTTGTTGCTTCATTTCTCATTGTCATTTCACACTTGAACATTATTGCTTTTCATCTACAGACACTCACTCTCACAACTCTTGTCACACTTCTGTTTATGTTTCTTCTATGGGGTTTTTCTTTTTGCCTGTCACACTCAGACATTATCATGATTTAATTGAACTGATTGGAGTTGTAGATTTGATCCATGGTATATTGTTCAACCATTGGACCTGAAAGAGTAGACCTAAGTCCTAGGTGCCCCATGTTATAAAGTGGAAGGAATCTCCTTTGCAATCAAGACCAATCAACATGCATTTTCTATATTTGAATGCATGAGCCTCTTCTTCCATGGCTTTCAGACAAGAACTAATCAGTTTTGTCAAACTGAAAAGAAGAACTTAAGCTCAACCATACTCTGGGGGGTTGAGCAGAGAGATATTACACATGGATCATCACACACTGAGCTTGGTTGAGCTTGATGAGAATTTCACCTCAATTCTGAAGCTTGTTATTCTTATGCTTTGGCTCAGGTATTGAACTTTGAGTGTGCCTTGTGATTATCTCACCTGAATGTGATTTGATAGTTTGATCAATTGCATTTTTGAAACTTAACTTAATGTTGTATCATCAAATTAGGTCTCTCTCTCTCATAAGCTCAGAGCAGCCCGGTTTGAATGATTTGAACAGGATCCGGGGTGTAAGAACGGGCAGCCCGGAATATTATCCGACGTCGGGGCTTCGGATCTTTGGCGCCTGGTGTGTGATGTAAAATGAATTGCAGCTGATCATCAGGAAATCTTTCTCATCGCGATTATCGACTTTGCAATAACGTTTACACACATACCATTCAACTTCAACTTCTCAACATTCAACTTCTTCAACTTTTAAGGCAGAACACATCATGAATTATCAAAACTTATCAAACATCGAACTTCAAAAGTTTTATAATTCAGCTGGATTCTTCATTTTAAATGATTTACCTATCTCAACTCAATTCTCAATTGATGGTCATACCTCAATCACTGGTCCTCGTTTTAAAGTAAGTTTATCACTTTTTCTTTCAATTCATTCCTACACATTTTCACTTACACTTTAAACTTTGATTATGTATAGGGTCTTAAATTATTACCACCTGGATTTCATTTAATTACATATATATCAGAACCTAGGAAGAAAACTCAAGAATCATTATCACAAGATCATATTTCACAACAAATCAAACATGGTTTAATCCGATTTTTCAAACCCAAAGAAATCATTATAAGAAGATATGATGAGAATGAAGAAAGAATTCAATCGATTCAAGATGAAACGATTAGTTCGATTGAGTATATGAAATCATTAGATTCTAATTTAGCTCCTTATCCTATTGAACGTTATTCGATTTGGAAATCTTTAACTTGTTTTATAACCATTGAATTAGTTGAAGAAGTCTTTGGAATTGATGAAAGAGGTGATTCGATTTTGGATAGTTTAATGTCGAATGAAGAAGAGAATTTAAAACCTTATCCTTCTCATCCACGAGATCTTAGTGCTTCTTATCCACGTCATCAACATCAACTTTTTTCACATCAATCATCAACTCATCGTCCAGAAGATCTATCGAATCAGAAATTTACAAATTGGCCTAAAATCAATCTTAAAAGATCATGGCCAAAAGACTCAATCGGTGAAGAATTAAGTAAATGGAGTCAAGATAAAAGTTATTTATTTCATCAATTCATTCTACATCAATGTCAAAAAGGTATGAAGTCTAATCTATACCAATCGTGTGTTTCATCAGTTTGACTTGTTTTGATGTCTTTTCTTTTATTCTTTTTCTTCAGATTTGAATAAGTTTTTAGGTCATATTCAATTATCATACCTAACCTTTCTACAAGTACATTCATTTCAATCACTAGAAACTTACCAAACCTTGTTAAACCTATTAACGAAATCCAGTCCCAAAGAACTTGAAAAGTTTAATCCAAATTACATTCCCATCATAATCTCAACGATAACCCAACTGATCAACCAATTAAAAGAACTATCCAATGATTTTTTTATCGAATTACAAGATCCTCAATTAGAGAATTGGTTTTTCAAAACGATCAACTATTTTAGAAACCATTTAAATCAAATCTTATGTAATGAAAATCAAGAACTGATTCAACTTCAATGGAAAACCCTTCAGGAAGATTGTAAGAGATTTGATTGGAATATTCAAGATTTGAGAATCGGTGGTCATGAAGATGAGAGTAGTGATGAAGATGATGATGAAAGTGATGAGGATGAGGATGAGAAACCAGTGATTGTTGAAACTTGAAACCGCATTCTGAATCTTTATTTCTCTTCCTAGGATTCGATCGAGTTCTAGGAATGTAGGCGCATTATATCTTTCGATTTTCTGTTCTTTTTCTTGGGAAATGTATTTTTTATTTTTATCTTTCTTAAGCAACTTGTTCTCACTTTCTGGTTTTGAATTTGTATCACTTTTTGTTCTTCACTGAGTATTGTTCTCATTACCATTTCTTTCAAACTTATCTGTCTTGTATTATCATCTTAAATTGTGTTTCAGTCATTTACCATTCATATCATTAGCAACATTTCTTACCAATTAGGGTTCTCTTCCAGACAATGATTTCTGTTACACAATCACAAGACCAAAACTGCTACACATGATCAAAACACAAGCATTGAAGCTAATCATCAGTTTCAAAGGTTTGCCACCTTTGAAAATCAAGAATGATAAACGACATTTGATTCAAATAATAATAATAGTACACCATGAAATGCAAATGAGAGAAAAGAAGCACTCAAATACAAAACACAAGACCAAATGAATTTCATGTAAGAAAGAAGCAAAAAAGCCAATCTAAAAAAGTTTATCGTCAAACCAAATCATAATGCACCAACTTCTTTTAATTTATGAATCACTTCATCTACATTTTCGACTTTTAATCCTCCTTTTCGTTTAGGTGGTTCTTCTACTTTTAAGATTTCGAATCGATTGTTTGTATCTATTCCAAGTTCTTCTGTTGTATAAGTAATAATTGATTTCTTCTTTGCTTTCATAATATTAGGTAATCTAACAAGATAAACGAAAACCAAAAAGAACCCAAAAGTTATAATCCTTTCAAAACAACGAAAAAAGAAGGGGAGGTTGTGAATGATCAAACTTACGAAGCATATCTAGGTTCATTTAATCTTAAATCAGTCGTCACCACAGCAGGTAAAGGTACCTTTAATTCTTCAATCCCTCCATCAATCTCTCGACTGACTTTAGCCGAACTCATCTGATTGGCATCAAATTCGATCGAACTGATATATTGTGCTAAAGAACAATTCAATAAACCCGATAACATTCCACCTACTTGTGATGAATCATCATCAATCGATTGTTTACCACAAATAATCAAATCAGGTTTCTTTTCTCCTAATTTTTGAATCACTTTTTGAATCGTTTTAGAAACCGATAATGGTTCGGGATCGCAATCAGGCTTGGTCGACGGCCATTCTATTAAGATTCCTGAATCGGCTCCCATGGCTAAACCTGTACGTAAAACTTCTTGACCTCCTTTTTTGTTAGAAGTGATGGTCAGTAAGGTGATCGATTCAATCTTTTCGCCTAGTTTTTCTTTCAATCTGATCGCTTCTTCTACGGCTATTTCATCAAATGGATTCTATATTTTATCAAACCAATCAAAAAAAATCAAAAAAACACGTAGATCTCTTGGTTAGCATCGCTTTGTTTTTTTGTGGAAAGGTATTGAAGGATGATAGGTTTCTTGAGTTGAGATCTTACCATTGAATGTTTAACTCCATTTGTTTCTACTCCAGTTTTAGCTGAATTAACTCGAATCTTTCTATTTGATGTAAACCAATTCAACATCAGAGGTTTTTTTGGGGGGGATGAAAGTTAACTTTGATCAGAAACCACTTACACTGCATAATCGATAGTCCGTTTGATGGGTACTAAAACTCTAATTTGATGAATTAAACTTGGTCTCATTCTTGATCAACCAATGGGGTTTTTCTAAGGAATTGAAGGTCTTGGGTGTTGGGTGTTGGGTGGTTCACGTTGACTGGTAGTTGAAGGTCTGATTGGATTAAGGTTTCGATGATGAGATCATATTACAGTCGTCTCTGAAATAACCCATACCTTTTCCTGGAGCCCAAAAGCTATGGGTTTGCATGAAGTATGGGCCACAGTGAGGCTGTGGCCCGGACCTGTTGCGACCCGAGGCCCTTCAAAGACAGCTCAGCTTGGTCAGGGCAGGGTCAGAGGTTAAACCCTGAGGCAGCCAAGGGCATTGTGGATTGGTGATGATCAGCTTGCAGCTAACCTAACAAAGTCACAGGGGCCAAAACACGAGCTCACATAGAGGTGAGCATGAAAAGCTTCAAGTTTTCTCCAAGGTTTCTACCTTTTTTCTTCCAAAACTGAGTGCGTTCAGCTCATGTTGATCATGTAATCAGACATGATCAATGTGAGCTGAGAGCTGAGTAGATGAGCCAGGCTTCCTCAAGCTTCATTGCTTAGCCAAGGAGCCTGAGGGAGGACTACCTGATCTGCTCAGGTCATCTCAGGACCTGCCTGAACGCTCAGTCTGTACATACACAGGAAGCCTCATTCCCTCCTTTGTCGATGAATTTTTATTACATTCCATGATGCAACGGCTTGAAAGTGGAGATTAACAAAGCGCAAACTTGGCCCGTCCCTCTCCCTTGCAAACACTCCTTGAGGTCCGAGGGTTTGCGACTGAGAGGGACGGGTTGAGTTTGAACAAAGCCCCCATCTTTAGCTTGAACAAGCCCTCTCTGCGCGGCCACGTCCGCGCGCCTCGCAGAGGGGCTTGGGACTAATCGTGAGTTCCTGGCACGGAGACTCCACGAGTTAAGTCCACTTATGTAGTTTTTTGCTTTTTCCCGCTTTCCTCACTGATAAAAACAACTTTACCTTGCAGGAAAAGTTGTTCGTATTTTTGTTCTACATGTGTTTCCATCTTGATATCCTGGTTATCACTACTTCATCACCCTGATCATGAGTTGAGTTTTCAAGCTCTTATGTCCCATATGTAAATGAATGTACAGCCTGTATTCGCATCGTACGTGATTTAAACATAAGGATGTGCAAAACATTTGGTGAATTTGGCGCAGGCAGAAACTAACGTACAAAAAGCACTGAAAACAGACCACAATACAGGCGGGTGTTGTAAGAATGTTAAAGCCACATTTCTGGCCGCATCAGATGGTTTGTGTACAATCTGAGGCTATGAGGATGTGTAGAACAAAAATATGAACAACTCTTCCTGCAAGGTAAAGTTGTTTTTATCGGTGAGGAAAGCGGGAAAAGGCGAAAAACTACATAAGTGGACTTAACTCGTGGAGTCTCCGTGCCAGGAACTCACGATTAGTCCCAAGCCCCTCTGCGAGGCGCGCGGACGTGGCCGCGCAGAGAGGGCTTGTTCAAGCTAACCCCCATCTCAAGACCTGTCTTCATCCCACAAACCATCATTCAAATTCAAATTCAGATGAAAAGGACACTACAACAGCTACAACACTACAACAACCATTCAAATTCCAAATCATCACTGTTTACTAAATCACATCATACTTTATTAGCAGTAGCTATCCAAATTCAAATTCAAATCCAGGAAAGATGTTGTGAATATCTTCAATTTAATCTTGCGTTGTCGAATTGGAATATGGTGGCCTACATTTGATTATTCGGCTAATCATCAACGGATCATTTGGATTGCTCTTAAAAGGTTCATCACTTTATCTCTCACAATACTTAATAATTAGCAAATGTTTGACCGATATTTTGTGTTGTCTTTTTTCTCTCCTTTACACAGATATGATAATCCTGAGATAGCTTTGAATATTGGAATGATTTTGAAAGAAATGTTAAGACATGAAGTCTTGGCTAAAAGTTTACTTTACTCAGATCAGTTTGTCAATTGCTGTTTTCTACATCAGTCTCCTTGAAGCTCATTCATTTGGGTATGAATTAGATTATATGACTTCCCTCAATACACTGAACAAACGACATTCGGAATTGCTTGTGATGCTATGTGAAGTTTCAAGGAATGCTTAACGCGTCATAAACCAATGGTCTCAGCCTTTCTTGAAGACAACTATGATCAAGTTGCGTCTTTTATCTCTCGTCTCTCTGATCACTCTCTTCTATCGATTAATCTGACTTTGGTTTCTCTTAAATCAGTTCTTTGGAATGTATTCTTCTCTTATCCAATCAACAAATCACGTCACAAAACAACAATCAATCAAACTATCAGGGGAAATTTTATTAGACAAATCAAATTATACTGTGATGAACAAACATATTTCAAAGGAAGATAACCTGAAAATCATGATGAACCTCTTAAAAGACAAATCCAAAAACATCCAATCCAAAGCTTTTCATGTCTTCAAGGTTCTCCCCTTTACTTTCTTCCCTCACAATCGGATATACAATACTCAAATCTTTTCATTTTGTATTTTAGGTCTTTGTCGCTAATCCACGTAAACCATCACCGATTGTAACAATTCTACGGCAGAATAAAGAAACACTTATCGAATTTCTTCGAGGTTTTCATAATGATAAAGATGGTAAGATCTCTTCCAAGTCTATATATCCTTGAGACCTGTGTCCATCATTCACTAATAGTTTTTTTTGCTTTTGTCTTTCTGTTGACTTAGACAAACAATTCAATGACAAGAAAGGTTTTTCAATCATTCAAATCAAGAATCTCAAATAGACTGCCTTATCCATTTTCCTCATTTCCTTATAACTGTAAATTCTTCGTAAGATGTTGTGTTTTTTTCTCACTAATTCCACATGTTGTTCTCATTTGTACACTCTCTTCTAACCAAAAAACCCCCAACCAACCCTCTTTTGTCTTTCCCCTATTCCTCTCTCTCGCTATCTCTTGCTGAATTCAAGTTCTCAAATTTAGATTCTTTAGTAGTACTACTAGTTCTTTCTTTCTTTATCTTTCATGTCTAAATGCCTCTTGTTTCTTTTTGACTTCTTTATTTTATTTTCTGATTTCAAAACCTAGACAAAAAGGAAGAAAACAAAATTGTTCTCGGATTGAAAGCAAACTTCCTTGAGACTTTGTAATCACTTCACTTCATAAACAAAAAAACAAGATGACAAAAAGGTTTTGGTTGATTTAGACAAAGATGTGAATTCATGTATGTATCCTATTGCAATCGTACTCCTCCAAGTGAATCACTCGCCATGAGGCTGCATGCTCAGCCTCTGCTTGTCTTATGAAGGTTTTCAATTAGGACCGGTGTATAGGATCAGTTATCCATTTGCCTCAGGGCATTATGGACAGTAGTCCGATAGGCTGGGTGATAGGGATGAAAGTACAACATGCCATGAGCGAAGTATGAAAACAGTTAGTAGGTGACTGCTACAACGTATAACTAGGTATAAGTACGAATGTTGAACAACTGATGAAGTGAACTTGCAATGTTTGGGTTTGATTGCGCGCGCCATGATACAACATCAAGTGATCAATTCATGTGGTATACGATTGCGAGTTCCCAGACATTATTCTTTTACAAAACGCAGTCAGCCATCAATCACTACACTAAGGGATAGTAGAATGAATATTGGTCCTCCCACGTTTAATCGTCTTGATTACAACGTCGGTCATAGCAGAAAACGGGCATCATAGACTAAACAAAAAAACTTAAAACGGAAAGAGCAGGAAACAAAATAGTGACAATGATATCATGAAGGCAGAGCAGTGGTCTCAGCCAAGACAAGATGAAGTGTGACAGGACACTAGATAGTTAAAGCACAAAATGAATTAGAACCTGTCACAAAACATGGATAACACGCTTGAGGGTCACTTACAAAAGCAACGTGTGTTCATGTTTTCATCCTCACAATCGCTCACCACAAAGACGACAAGCGAGTTGTATGTCCTTGGGCTGGATGATGACACGTTTAGCGTGGATGGCAGCCAAGTTAGTGTCCTCATGAAGAGCCTGATATTGAAAGATTGGTTTGAGATCAGCATGATGACAAACGACCGACAAGCCGAGGAAAGCAAACAAATAGGGTATACAAATATGTTCTGGGAATTTTCAGAAGGTTTTTTCCAGAACGCCAGAAGTTTTTTTTTTGGTGTGTTCTGGCGTTCTGGCATTCAGCAAATTTGAATGCACCACACTTCCAGAATGCCAGAAACCCCGTGAACACAACCCAACTCCACCAGCTCACCCCTCATCCCTACTCACCTCAGCACCAAATCACATCACCATCAGCTACTCCATCTCATCACGATTCACTACTCTCACCTCGAATCCTCGAGTCGATTAGACATTTGAGATACAACATTTTTCTCTAATCGACTCGAACATCTGTCGAGAAAAGATGTTCGAGTCGATTAGAGAATTGAAATCAAATTTCCTGAGGAGTTCAATTAATGTTCAACTTCTTCGTGAAGTCGGTTTTCAGACAAATCACAAAGACAGTCAACATGAAGCCTGCCAGCCGCATAGAGCGTGGAATTACTGGCTGACGTGCCGTCTCGGCCACCCCTTTGGTGCTTTTTT